GGAGATTATAATGTTATCCAGTTGAACATATTGAAAAATCAGCTTTCATTAGTAAAAAATGTTATTACCCGACATTATTAGGTACCTTGAGGACCTGTTATCTGCCGTAATTGCCTAAATCCGTTTGACTAAATACAATTTCTCTGTAAAAATAATAAACGTACTTCTTGAAAGAAAAGATGGTACCTAAACGCAAAAAGGAACCAATTTGTAGATTGGTTCCAACGAATCACTTTTTTACCGTCCTCTGAACGGTCACAAAATTATTTGGACCACTTTAATGGAACGCTTAAGGTGAGAACGCATTAAGCAATCTTATCCCCTCTTATCTGTTCCATAAAATCTCACCACGTTCGAGACTAGAACAAATAGCGATGCGACGGAACCGCGATTGTCTAATGCGTCCTCACCTTTATTAAACTGTACAAAACCATGACGGTATAACTTACGGTTTTTCACTCCACCAGTCGACACGAATAGTTTTTCTGATCAAAGTTTACTTTTCTAGAAACTAGACCAATTTTTCGAATTTTCTAGGAAAATGACTGATTTTATATATTTTTTAAAATTTTATTTTTAATTGCGATAAACAAAATTTTTGTCGAACATCAAAATCTTTTTAATTCAAGAATTGTAATAAATAATAGCATATACATGTAAAATAATGTAATGTGAGCCATTTCATTATTCAGTCATGCTCTAATCCTCCAATTCCCCCTCTGTCTTATTTAGCCTTTGAGGCTCAACTTGTCCGATTATCATACATAATTAAACCCCTTAAGACCAAGCATATGTGAAAACTATGGCGGAGGTGCTTTCGATTACTATTCGAGAAAGAACGGGATAATGTTTCTAGTTTTGGCGAAGAACATTCTGGAACCTTCACCATAATTTTAAATTTTTATATAAATATTGGTGGAGGAACAACGCAGTCAGATATAGATAGACAGTGAAGATAAATAGTGAACAATTCAAAGACATTAGAAATATATAAATTAGAATAGTAACATTATAAAATAAAATAAGTGTTTAAATAAATTATTTACAAAGAAACTATTGTTTAAATAAACAAACATTACAATAATAAAAAATCAAGTTTAAAAATGAATATTTTTAGTAGTTCTCTTATGTTTGTATGGGCTTTCTCCTATTAAACCCCAAATGTAATCTCCCATCATATTCTCGTTGTTCTGCCCTTGGTAACGTTGTTTAAAATCCGTCACATCTTGGTGAAAATGTTCTTCTTGTTCATCTGATGAGTAGCCACCCATATTATCTTTAAATTAATCCAGGTGAGAATGTAGCATATGAAGTTTTGTGGGATATTCCGCAGCCCATAATTTTAAATCTTTTAAACATAGTTTCAATCAACTTTTCATAATTGTCAGCTCTGTTGTTACCAAGAAAACCATTAACTACTACTTTAAGACTTTCCTAGACTTGTTTTTAATGAGCATTGAGGAATTCTGTGAAATCATCACTGCTCATTATTTCTTATATTTTTTTAAAACTACCATTCACTGTTGAGTTCTAATTAACAGTGCTGTTTCTAAATTGGCGCTGGGAAACAGTAACAAAACTTACACAAAACACGAAGCGAAATAACCATAGTAGTTGAAGCCGATGAAACACAAAAAAAATAGCCATATAAACATACCACAAGTCATTGAGGATAAAAAATTAATAATATGTTCTATAAAATAATGCATATGCAACTAACAATACAAGAAAGTAGTAATATTGATTGCCTAGATATCAGTAATTTCTTACTAAAACACAATACCACATAACATAAGGCATTTCGTAACTAGTTTCATAAATAGCTATTGTGGTATCGATTTTGTACTTTTTATTCCTATTGATAAATGTTTGTTATTTCGTGATTATTTTAGACTTTTTCCTATGCACACAAAAAAAATTGTTAATGGTACAAATATGTATCACCAATTTTCAAAAAACAAACAATACTAATTTCAAAATTAGTTATTTCAATCTAATGTCATTTTCCAGGCTTTGCATGTTTGTGAAATTAAATAATCTCCATAAAACCCTATCGATACGAACTCTATAAGCACATACTACGAGTAGTTATATCGTATTCAAATTGTTTATATCTCTAAAATTAGCCCGTAATTAAGTCCTTTGATTCTGATGCCCTTTATCTGAAGCCGATGAATTACTGGTAGCAAATGGTAATTAATAATAAGCTTGATACAGATCTTCCTATCAATTCGATCTGTTTGATCAAAGGTTAATACGAGGGCTGTTCTCTTTTCGCTGAGCCTTTACAGTAGGCGATTATATTTTTAAAACAAATTTTGTCTGACATTTCAGTCAAGGTATTTACTAGTTTAGTTAGTGACAGTTGTCAAATACTTATGCCTTGTTGTAAGTTACATAAGTATAAAGTAATCCATTCGTCAATAAGTGATGGAAATGGACAAAGAACATTATCAGTAGTAATATCCCAAGGACAGTGCTTGGTAACTTTTCGACGCCGTAGGCGGAGGGAAGTTATCTTAAGAAACGTGCTTGAGGTATCTGAAATAAAATTATGAGTATTTATCACTAGCCGATGAATTTTTTCCTGGGGGGAGACTATGTGTCTCCGAATAACACTGAAGCCTATTGGCTTATTGTGTTTTACCCCATGTTAGTTCATAGCACCCACTCTATCACCTTTGTACCTTGTACAAGTTTGTACAGATCCTTGGGTGAGTGGGTTCTATACGTTGTTGGATCAACCTGGGTTTGTCCAAAAAGAGCCTGTCTTTTGCGATCTAGAGCTTCGCATTCGCACAGTATATGTTTGGCCGTTTCTGGTTTCTTGTGACAAAGTCGGCACATGAGTTCCCCATTGTACATGCCAATTTTGTTCAAGTGTCCCTTTACTGGGACGTGCCCAGTCATGAACCCTGTTATCACTTTCAACTGGTTCCTATTCCTTAAGAGTAGTTCTCCAGTTCTTTTGGGACATGGTCTGCCTATGAAGGCTTTTCCATGTGCCTGTTTTGGGGTGCTTCCCCAATAGTTGATATGTTGTTCCCGAATCCAGTCATTTATAAAACCCCGGACTGTACTTTTTGGTACTCCTGGGTTTGTGTCTGGTTCCGGTATTTCTTCTGACCCTCTTTTTGCAAGTTCGTCAGCCTTTTCGTTGCCTTCGATCCCTTTGTGACCTGGCACCCAAAATAGTTTTACTCTATTTCGGTCTGCCAGTGTTCTTAGTTCTTCGATGTATTCCCATACCAGCCTCGACGTAACTTTCTGACTCGATATGGCCTTAAGTGCCGCTTGGCTGCCTGACATTATTTGAATATGCTGATTTTCGACAGCTTTCATTGTTCGTTTTTGCACATTGCAAAATTGCGTATACCTCGGCCTGAAATACCGAGGAATGTATTCCTATAGCATAGCTATGGTCAGTATCAGGGTTTTTGGAGAATACTCCTTCCCCAGTGCCTTCCGCAGTCTTAGACCCGTCTGTATACCAGGTTTTTTCCTGTCGTTGAGCATTGGGCTCCCTTATGATGATCTCCGCTCTTTCCTGTATTAAAACCTTAAAGGGAGTATTAAAAGAGTACCTCTTGGTTATGTAGTCTGATCTCATGTCTAGCACGTCTCATGTCACTAACCTTGAGATACTCATGTGACCTGGCCTAATGTCAAGATTTCCCAGTGTATTCCCTAATCTGTAAGCACCTAATCTTGCCTCTCCTTATCTTGCCTCCCCTTGTATCACATAGTGAAGAGGTGGGAGTCCTATTAGTGCTTCCATTGCAGCAGTGGGGGTTGTTTTCATTGCCCTCGTTGTTCCGAGGCAGGCAAGTCTTTGTACCTTGCTTAGCCTCGTTATTGCTTTCCTTTGCTGTGTCTTTGGCCACCACACCAATGGATATTCGATCAGAAAATTTTTGGCATATTTTAAAGTCTTGACTCTACATTCCATAAAAAGTTGACTCTATATTCTACTATCTTTTTTTACAAAATTTCTGAAGCCAAAATTCTAAGCGTCCTTGGCAGAAATTGCAGATTCTGATTGAACATTTACCATTAGTTATTTTTCGGTTAGCAAAGAGATTATAGTGAAAAGGTTAATTTTAAGATCTTTTATCTTTTATTCGAAATATTTCCTATCAAAATCTGAAAAATAATAATTTGGTTCAAAATGAATAAGAACACTGCTGCCTGAATCAACACGATTTTGTTCTAGAGTTGACATTAGAATTAATCACGCATAACCTAGTGTATCAAATCTTACAATTGCTATTATTTTTTTTCTCCAAATGACAATTTAAATTTCAAAATTGTTATTACGAACACGACTACCAGCTCTATCTTTGTCGGTCTATAACATTTTTGTTTGCTCTCTCGTTATACAAATAATAGTTACCATATACAGTTTGCGAAAAAAAAATTTCAACACAAATCTTATAATATTTATTTATATCTTCATTACCAACAAAAATACAGAAAAAAATAAATTTCTTAACTTTGCCTTAAATATTTCTAGTACGGTACATTTTAGAGACATCATGTAACAACAATAGAGAGGACATCACAAACAACTATTATTCAAAGAATGTTCTTCTCTAATTATAAATATCAGAAATATACCATTAAGTAGAAAAACTTTAAAGTACTCCCCTCCAGATGTTTTGATTATTCACAAAATTTAATCACCTTACCTCAGGATGGATTAAAGCTTAAGTTTCTTTGCGAAAATGGTCAATACGGATTCAAGGACCCCAAAACGTAAAGATCCAGGAAAAATGGAAAAATCATGATTCCTAACTGGCTACAGAAAAGTTTATTTGCAGCCACTTTTCCGATTCTTTTCCAGCGCCACTTTAATAATATCACCAAAAACCCAACCATTAATTAATCGTCGACTAAGTAAATATGAGTAACTCCTTACAAATTAGGATACTAAATTTAGAATTATTATTTTAAAATGAAAAACGGTCCGATTATTTAATATATTATATTTTTTGTTTCAGTTGTTAAACAAAAATACGACATTCAAGTCCACGACGAATACGTAATATCTGGCAACACTGCCGTCCTAAAGTGCAAAATACCGAATTATGTTGCTGAATATGTAATGGTGACGTCATGGATTCAGGATGACAGCATAAATATCTATCCGAATACAGATATCGGAGGAAAATATGTCGTTTTGGCCAACGGGGATTTGTATATCAGCAACGCCGGCCCTGCAGATGGGTACAAGAACTACGCTTGCCGTACTGTACATAAATTGACAGGTAAGTTTAACTTTATTAACTTTAGTTTATTATGAATAATTTTAAAAAGAGAAAACAATTAAATTCTTTGTCAAAACAAAATCACAAATTAAAAGTCAAAACAATTAAAATGTCAAATTAAAATCTTTATCTTTTACTGGTGCTTCAGTATTATTAGGTAGATTTTAAAGATAAAGTAGATATAAATATTAGGTCTGTTCCAACAATGATCAGAAACAAGTCAGTGACACCAGAATTCTGTGCAGTAGAGAATTTGGCGGTCTCAATAATCTACTGCGGAGAATCCTGGAGTCACTGACTGGTTTCTGATCGTTGTAGGACCAAACCAATTATAAAACAAAATTATAAAATTAAACATAACATAATAATTAACCTTAACTGAGATCACAATAATGTCAGTAATAAGCTATTTCAGAATTCTATTCAGTTTTATTCTTATATATGACAAACTACCGAATCTATCTAATGAATAACACAGCACACCACAACAATCATAATAACTATTCTTTATAATATTTTAACGCTTAAGTTTTTAAAAAAATAATCAACTTTTGGTTTGAATAAACGATCTTAGGAAACAAATTGTGTTGATTGTGTCATCTGCCAAGAAAAATTAAAGTTTGTTGTGTTATTTGGACCTCCGTGTATTTAGGTCTATTTTGCAACTCTGTATCATTTTTAAACAATTGTTTTTCATGCCCCATTTTTGTAGGCACACTGTATATTGACTGTAGACATCAATTTTGTCTTACATTTACTTGTTTGCAGATTTGTAGATCTGCACTCCTTTTAAACCACTCTGTATCATATTTTATGGTTTTACCAAACATATTTTATATGATTATTTTCAGTTAGGTATAATATATTTCCTAAATAACGTAAGTACTGATTTGGTTACAAAATTTTGTCTATGTACTTCTCACATTTTTTTCTCTAATTTTGAACCACCTTGTATATTACATATTTATGCTTTTAGTATATTATTATATCCTATCGTTTTAATACCGACTCCTTATAATATACATTTCTTAAATTATCTTTTTGTTCAAACACTCAGTATAATTGTTTTCACTAACTACCTACCCTTTATCATACTTAAGCGTTTTGTAAAACATTAAATGTATTTTTATTTGTATTTTTTTGTGAATGGTACAACTGTTTTTTTTTTTGTTCGTTAATAGACAATTGCTTCTTTTTGTACCTGTTGTTCACCATGTTTAGAGCTGTTGGAGATCGCTCCGAGCCTGTGTCTGCAAATCGCTCCCTGACAATAACTGCTAGATCGTCTGCGTATCCTAGGCACTGGTAGCCTTCTTTGGACAATGTTTTAAGTAGGTCGTCCACAAAAACTCACCACAGCATCGGAGATCATTTTTCTTCTTGTGGGCAGCCCCGTGTAACTTTTGCCTATACGGTTGCCTTTCCTAGAATGAATAAAATTATCCCGTCCTCTAGACTGGCAGTAATCCATTAGCATATTGTAACTGGGACGCTTCTTTGTTCTAGAGCCTTCATTATTGACCAGGTTGGGGCATCGTTGAAAGCTCCTTCGATATTTAAGAAAGTGACTGTTTAGATCGTCCAGCGCTAGGTCAGTTGACTTTCGTGGCTGGTATACATATTGGTTGGGATGGAACGGATTTATATCTCGTCCCTGATATACCTTTCTATCAATATTTCTAGAGTTTTAAGTAGTAAGGAGGATAGGCTTATGGGGCGGTATGACTTTGGCGTTTGGTCTGTGATGCTACCTATTTTGGCAGGTTAGACTACTTTCGCCGTTTGCCATATTGCTGGGATATATCTCCAGTTAATGCATATTTTTAAATTTTGCATAAATGTGGCATTAACACATCCTTACTGTTCTGGAGCAGAATTGGATATATTCCATCCGGCCTTCAAGATTTGTATGCCTTGAATTTGTTCATAGCCCAACTAATCCTGTGTGATCTTCTGATCTCGGAGGCCAGCTTCCAGTCTATTGAAGTTGGTCTGTTCCCTTTTTGACTGTAGCTCCTTTGGTCTCCTGAATCTAGACCTGTTAAGTTAAGGCCGCAAGGTGCAGCCTTACGTACTTCCTTGTTATACTCTGTGTGCTTATTTTTATAAGTAGTCCAGTCCTGCTGAATAGCCTTCGCACCTCGCCTCTCAGGCTATCTAGGTGTTTATTCCACCAGTCTTTCTCGATTAGCATCTCTCTTTTTCGGGACAGTTTTCTTAGTAGGCATCATTAATTGCCCTGTTTACCAAGTCCACTGTCCTTTCGAGTGTTTTTGTTTCTCGTACATTGGTGATTTCCTCCTGGAGAGACTCCTCGAGGGATTTTATGTACCCTTCCCAATTTGTCTTTCTCATGTTTCTAAACCTGTCTGCTGTACGAGTTGGACATTGTATGTGGAATCGGATATGTCTGTGATCTAAACACGATGATTCACCGGATACATGCCAGTTTCTGATTTGTGCCTCTCGAATATAGTCATATCTAGAACTTCTTTTCGGTTGGCAGTAACAAAAGTTGGTTTGTTGCCTTTATTGGCAATTTCTAACTCATCATCTAGAATAAATTGTAATAGTGACTCACCTCTTTAATTAATGTTGATGCTTCCCCAGATAATGTGTGCATTCGCATCGCATCCTAATATGAGCTTGAGTTTCTGCTCCTCGCAATGGGCAATGATCCTGCCTAGTATTACTGCGGGCATATTCTCTCCTCTCATGGGAAGTAGGCGAAGCATACAACATAGCTCTTCTTTCTCTCTTCCGTTTGGATTGATAGGAAGGCTGTAACAAAATCACTGGTGCAAAGTACCGGTATTAGTGAACAATTTACCCTGTGACTGTAGATTATACAAGCACTGGGTTTCTCATCCTCTTTGCTGTACAATAGCTTACTTTGATGCAGTTTTACTCCCGCGACTTTTCCAGAAACACGCCAAGGTTCCTACTGGAGGGCTATATCCAAGCCTTCCGTATCGAACGTCCTACATACTATGGCAGACGCTGCCTTGGCATGCTGGACATTCGCCTGCAGGACCTTTATGCCCCGTTGTGACTCGTTGAAGGCGCCGTGAGATCTGTCCTTTGACTTTCCTCTACCTCCTAAGGGTAGGCCGACTTGGGGCTTTGTGGCTTTTTGAGAGGGCTCCTGCCTCTTTTGATAGAGGTATCTTTGGCGGACTTATTGCCTTCTTTGCCCTTGGGGACGTTCGTCCTATGGATGACAGGATTTCTGAAGTCTGGTCTTTTCGGGGCTCATTTTGGTCTTGACGTTTTGCTTCACCGGCTTTGCTTTGGAGCCTATTTGGATCGGTTTTGCCCTGTTCCATTTCTTTAGGACGGAACTTTCCTCATAAGCATACACCGTGAGTCTACTTATGCAAAATATGAAATAGAACAAGAAACTGTTACAAACTGTCCAAATATTGTTTAAAATAATACCTTAAAAAATAGTATTTTCTTTTTTATGTCAATAGATATTTTATCTAGCAAATAATAAAATTGATACTTTGACATTCGGTAATATTGGTAAAAAATTATTTCGTCGTCTACCAGTTCTTTACATAAAGTATGTTATTCTCCTTCACTTTTACGTTTTAGTAACATTTTATGCACCCATAACCGTTTTTGTTTCTTCTTTATGACTTCCTCGTCTTTATTAAGCAATATAGCCAGATCTTTATTGGTAACATTTCTAATTTTGTTTAGCAAAAACTTATCACAAACAACCCGTCTAGATGTCGAGTGCCTATCGTATAATGTGAATTCGTCCGAAACAATCGGGTCTTTGTCGGTCTTTGCCGTGTCGTTTTATGTCTGATAATGTGAATCAGGCTATATAAGCACCTGTAGACAGTCTATGATTTTTTTTATTGTTACTATCGAAAACGGTCTCTTATTTTGGTCGTTCTCGTTTTTATTAACAAGTTAACAAGTTAATGTTAAAATGAATTACGATGAAATAAGTTTAACTGCAATATATAGACCACATGGTACATGTACAAAAAATTTTAATGAAACTTTAAATATTTTTTTAGAACAAAATAAATCTAGAAAGATACACTTTTTAGCGGGGGATATTAATCTTGACATAAAATCAAACAAATAAGACTGTTTAGATTATTTAGATATTTTGAGTGAATGGGGATTCGAATCCTTAAATAACGAATATACAAGAGTTTCAAATGGTTCTAAAAGTTGTATAGACCACATTTTTTTTAAAAAATCATAAAAATCCCCAGTGTAAATCATTTGTATACCAAATTGATGTAACTGATCATTACCCAGTCATTGCATTAATGGAAATTAACATTCAGGCAAACGATATTTCGAAGAAACAGAACACATTTAAGTCGTTAGATTTTAATATTCTGTGCAATCTATTAGCACAACAAAGTTGGGATCAAATATATAATACCCGAGATTTAGATGTAGCGGTAAACATATTTTTAGGTAAAATTAACATTGCCGTTGATTTAGCTACAAAGGAAATACAAATTAAACATCATACAAAAAAAAGAAATCCATGGATATCAAATGAAATAATTGAGTCCGTTCAAATTAAGCAAAAACTGTATCGCGACTGTAAACTTGATCCATATAATCTAAATAAAGAAAGAACTTACAAACAATATAAAAATTATTTAAATAGAGCAATTGCATTAGCAAAAGAAAATTATTTTAAAAAACAAATTTCAAATAATACTGATAGTAAAACACTCTGGAAGGTTATAAATAATTTTACAAACAAAGATAGAATTAAAGCTAAAATGGGGGAAATAGAAGTTGAATGAAAGAATATAAAAGATAAAAGGGAAATTGCAGATCACTTTAACAACTATTTTACCAATTTGGGCAAAACTTTGGCAAATAAAATAACAAAAACTCAAGGATATAAATTAAAAAATTATAAAAATGATATATCTATATTTCTTCAGCCAACAGATGAGGTAGAAGTTGAACACTTTATAAGAGAGCTAAAAATAAATAAAGCACCTGGTTTA